AGGAGTTAAGCAACTGTTGTGGAGTTGCATCTAGGGAAAGGTCAGCAGTTTGATTTGGGGAGGAATTGTGATACAAGACTAAAGTGTATGTATATACACAGGGTTTCTGTTCCCCAATAAAATTAATTATAACTTTTAACATTATAATGCCATATCTTTGTTTATTAACATGTTCTTGTTTGTAGCAAAGTTTTGAAGGTAACATGTTACTATATAGGTATGATTCAGGAATGAGGTAATGCCACCGGTTACCATGCACATAGAGCTCATTTTTGGAGCTGTTACTAGGCACTGGGAATCTTACACGCATCATCTTTTGTTTTCGTTGCTTATGACATTGTCTAAAATTTATTAAATTGGTTTAAGGTTAGCTAGTTTTCATAACAAATGTTTATACAGGTATGATATGTAAAGCTATATATTTTAGATTATCAAGCCTCAAAAAATTAAATGTTCAGTGGTTAAACAATTGGAAACAGACCAGAAGGTTGGCAGCTTCATTTTTGTATAAATTATGCATTTTATGTTAATAATGTTTTAAAGCACACTAACATTATGGTTTGGTAAATTAGTCAGTTGGATATCTTAAACACGTTTTTTTACTTTGGTACTTCTCACATGTTACAAGAAATCTGTAATTTGTGTTGTAGGGATTCAGTCAGTGCAATACTCAGGCTTTATAAATTCAGTCAGTGCAATACTCAGGCTTTATAAAAGCATAAAACTTTTAAACTTATTTTTTTAAAGTGTTATAATTTTTAAGTGCATGTTTATGTGCACAATAGTGTTTGAAGAACATTATCCGAAGTTTTCTATACAGTATGTTAGTATAGCTACCGTAAGTAAATGAACGCTTCTACTGATTTTACATTATTTAATACGTTCGTAATGGCACGCACTACCTGTGATATGTTGCGGGTTTCTCATGTAGCTGTTGGTGCCCACTGGCAGTAAAGACTTGTGAACTGTTTCTAATGTGGCTCTAGCATCTATGTTTATTTCTTTGGATTTGATAATATTACTTTAGCTGTAAGAAAGGGATGTTTCTAGGTGCACCACCTGTGCTCATAATGAATGTACTAGAGTATAAAATAATACAATGACTTCAATATTGTTTCAGATAATTTAAAAGTTAATGGAAAAATGTTAGAGAACAAAAAACAAATTCTTTACTAAAAAAAAAAAAAGTGCCTGACAACAGTCAAACATTGGGAATAGTTTCAAAACTGCCAGAATTTGCTTTAGTGTCAGCCTTCATCATCATTTTCAGGTATTCAAGATCTATAATCATTAGAAAAATCAATTGCATTTATTTAAATCCCAAGTACACCCCCAACCCAGATTTGTCAAAATATGATTCATTTGTGTAATCTGGAGACTTAAGAACATAAGAATAAAGGTAACTGCAGAAGGCCTATTGGCCTATACAAGGTAGCTCCTATCAATAATCACCCAATTCCACTCATATACATGTCCAACCCACACTTGAAATAATCAAGGAACCCCACCTCCACCACATTATGCAGTAATTGGTTCCACAAATCGACAACCCTGTTACCGAACCAGTATTTACTCAGGTCTTTCCTAAACCTAAACTTATCCAATTTATACCCATATTTTTGTGTTCTATCTCGAGTTGATACTTTTTGTAAGCTTCTTCCAACTTTGTTCAGTTGTGGACGTTTGTGGTGTGCATGGTGCAGGCTCATGTGCTTGTCCAGTGTGGAGAACTGAGTTATTCATGACTGTATTTGTTTTTGTGCTTTGGATTTGTCATTGGTTTTCCTCACCATTTCTTATTTCTGCCAAGAACTTATTCACACACTCACAATTCTCTTTGTACTGCTGTCTAAGAAGGAAGGTCTAGTGACCTGATATTGGTTTAGGCCAGTATTTTGCTCTAATGTGCTTTCTCACCAGGGTACAACCATACATGGATGAGCAGAACTACAGTATGCAGCTTAGAGCTTGATGGGCATCCCTTCAATTGGGATTCAATTGTCTAGGTTGTATGGCATTTAAATCTTAGGGATGGGAAGTTTCTAAAATCTTCTGCCACCTTGAATATGATACTTTCTTTATGCTTCAAATTTGTTTGTCATATTTTAAATTAAAATTCAAATTCAATTTTTTTATTCTGGAAAAGTACATACATAGATGATGAGTTGCAAATATAACGTTGGATTTATAGATAGAGCTAGTACATACAATACCTGAAGCCACTAATACGCACAGCGTTTCGGGCAATTGTAGAGGAAAACAATATTTTAGGACAGTATCCTGTCTTTATCTACTTCCGGCTTTGACTAGGCAGAATTTGATGATTTTCCTAATGTAAAATTGATCTGTGCATAGGAATTTAACCCCTCTCATCTTGAGAATGGTTTTACATCTGCTTTTTGGATTTGATACCAGGTTCATGCTTCTGGATTGTAAGATTTATTTTCCATGGAGGGGTGGCAGCTGTTCTGTCACTTCCAGGTGCTTGAGTGGAAAGGGATCTTTCAGGTCTTCAATGTGGTGTTGGCAGGGAGAACTTGAACTTCATGAGTCAGGCTCTCTGTGTATCAAGAGGTACCCCTTCTGGCAGCCCTGTGTTCAGGTTCCTCCCATCTTTGCAGCAACTAGTTGCAGTGGACTTCATAACATGCATCCACCTAGCATGTGTGAGTAAGTTTTTAGGGCCACTTCTTTAGCAGCATTAAGTGATCAGGTGGATTCCAAAAATATTTTGCATAGTACATACCAGTTTTCTTCTTTTTGTTCCTCTTGTGCTTTTTTTTATTACTGGACTCTTAACTGACCAACGGCTTATATCTTATGTTTTGTAAGGGCTGAACAACCCTTAGTAAGGCTTTCTTAAACATTTGTTCTATCCCCTGTTCTTTTGGAGCCAAGATGGTGTTGGACTTCGCATGTGATCTATGGTACAAGTACACACCTGTGGTTGATTCAGCCACAGGTGTGTGCTTGTGCTTATGACTTGCAGATATTCACTACCCAAGGTAATCTTCTCAGACATCAGAGCTTGTTAGTCTTCCAGAAACATCAATACAATTGCAGCATTGTACTTCCTTTAGATTCTGAGTCTGCACCATCAGTGTGTTGCAGTGTTTGGGTCACTTCTAGATGGCCCTCTCTCTTAGCAATGGTCTGGGTGTTGTGATGTTGGGCTTCCAGAGCTGTTGGATGATTGGTGCCTCTGCAGCTTATTTTAGCCACCATTGTCAAGTCATACTTGGTTTCATTTATTTATAAACCAAGGTGAGATACTTTGAGTATAAGGCTGTGATTAAACACACAGTACTGTACAGTATCTGAAAAGCTCTTTTTACTGATTAGGATACTCATTTGTTTCCATCATGGAAACATCCATCATATTTGCACATGGAAAATATTAGAGAGGCTGGTCCCAAACCTGCACACAGAAATAACATCACATGAGACCAGAAGACATGGCAGGATGTGCAAAATACCCCCTTTGAAAAGCAGAGGTGCAACAGGTACTCTGAGAGAGAACTATCAACATCAGAGGCCCGAGACTGTTCAACACGCTTCCGCTACACATAAGGGACATAACTGGCAAACCCCTCAGTGTTCAAGAGAGAACTGGATAAGCACCTCCAAAGGATACCTGATCAACCCGGTTGATTAGTCCCGCAACTAGGAGGCCTGGTCAACGACCGGGCCGCGGAGACGCTAAGCCCCGGAAGCACCTCAAGGTAACCACAAGGTAAGGTATCATTCCTTTTCCTTGTGCACAGAGATTTCTTTGTTTTGGAAGTACAGTATGTGGGAGACTTGAGTTGGGAACCTTGGTTAGTGTTGTCACTTAGTGGCACTTGGGGCTAGTGACCTGGTGTGCATCTTGTGCATTACAAGAGTACAACTTGAGAGTCCCTGTGTTTATGAATGAATGTTCTGGGATGGATTCAGACTTAAGTTGGCTCTCTAACACAAGTATGACCCAATGGGGATGTCTGAAAAGATCTGTGCAGTGCAGTTGCAGAATATTGTCCTGCCCTGATTGCTTGATCCTGTACATTGAAAAATCATAATTATTTTAACATGTACATACAAAAAGTGTCTTTCAGTAGTGAGAGAGGCAGATTCCTTAAACAGATAATTATGAGGGGTACATAAGCAGTCACTGTACACATTTAAAGGTAGTGAGAATTCTTGCATGTAACTTAGTGTAACATAATTACTGAAAAGGAAAAGTACCATTTTCAACATACAATTATGGCATTTTTGTTCAACATTTCTCTTGTTCAACAAGAGAAATGTTGAACAAAAATACCTGTATAATAGACAAAACCCAAGATGCAAGAAGATTACAAATTCTTGAAGCAATTCACATAAGAATAGAACAACCTACCATGAACACCCATATCACTGAACTATTTACTCTACCCACCATGAGAGTAAGGACAAGACCAGAACATAATGATGCCAACACAGAAGACACTGTAATGGGATCGGGTGGTTATAGATAGGAGCTGCCTCGTAAGGGCCAATAGGCCTTCTGCTGCTACCTTTATTCTAATGTGCTTCGTCCCCCATTTATCCCCTATATGTATCACCCTTTTTTTTTACCTTATTGTAATATATATATATATATATATATATATATATATATATATATATATATATATATATATATATATATATATATAAATATATAAATATATATATATATAAAATATATATATATATATATATATATATAAATATATATATATATATATATATATATATATATATATATATATATATATATATATATATATATATATATATATATATATATATATATATATATATATATATATATAAAATATAAAAATATAAAAAAAATATTGTTAGAGATGTACAATGCTGTGTTCCATTTCCAGTTGCATTGCTGTGCATTATTTTTTAATTACCAGACCTGACATGCTCTTTTGTTTAGAACACTTTTGTTTTGGCAAAACTAATCTCTTCAACATTCGTGTTCTCAGCACAAACGGGATTCTAACGAAGAAGGTGAAGTTGCGGTGAGTTCACTGTTATTCATGGATCTTGTGAATTTGATGAATTTCATCTGAAAAACATCTTTGCATGCCTTGGCTTTTGTGTGGAATTTCTATTTTGGTATTGAGGGTTTCTTGTATCTGACCTCGTAATAAATGAACTTATTTTAGTTCCCTTAAAAAAAGTTATATTTTGATAAAATTTATAAAAAAGTTTAAAATATATAATTATTTGACGAGATCTTAATATGCTGTTCTCTATGGATACAGTACAGTATTTTCATATTATAAGTACAGCATGCAGACGAGGTGTCACAATAACGTTGCTGAAATGTGTTGACCAAACCACACACTAGAAAGTGAAGGGATTACAACGTTTCAGTCAGTCCTGGACCATTCTCAAGTAGATTCTCACAATCGACTTGAGAATGGTCCAGGACGGACCGAAATGTCGTCGTCCCTTCACTTTCTAGTGTGTGGTTTGGTCAACAAGTACAACATTGTACTACAATGTAATACTAGTATATATTAACAGTTTACTAATAATTTACTTAAAATGTTCAAACCAATTGATCTTACATTATTTAAATTGATTGGCAAATAGATGTTTGAGTAAACAGACTTTGGCTGATCAGTTTCTATTGTCAATAATACTGTATTGTATAATAATTTAAAATACAGTATCTGTGAACAAAATAGTTTCTGCAGGCGAGGATTCACAATAAAGTGGCTGAAATGTGTTGATCAAACCACACACTAGAAATTGAAGGGAAGACGACGTTTCGATCTGTCCTGGACCGTTCTCAAGTCGATTGTGAACTTGAGAATGGTCCAGGATGGACTGAAACGTCGTCCCTTCACTTTCTAGTGTGTGGTTTGGTCAAAATAGTTAGTTTGTTAATTAAGCACAAAGAGGTTGATCACACTTGCATGAGTGAGCGCGCGCGCACACATTTGAGCATTCCTGCGTGAGCATAGACTGCAAATATTGATGAGCACATATGCAATCAAATATGCACACATAAGTACATACACACATCATATGTGAGACAGAGATGAGGATATGTAGCAGTTGTATGGCTATTGATATCTCAGAGCATATTAGTAAATTAGAAAAAGTGCCAAGACATTCTACTACTGTAAGAGGTTCCCAGAGTAAAATTGTAAGAATTATGAGATGCTAGAGATGTTAAACATGCCATAACTAGTAGACAGATGGGAATGAGGTAATATGATCAGCACATTCAAAATCGTGAGAGGATTTTCAAAAGTTGATAACAAAGAAATTTTGTATCAAGCACTTTTGGCACGATACAATAAATTCAAGCTAAGAAAACAAAAGTGATGAAAAAATGTATAAGATTCTCTCTTGGCAAACAGTGTGGTAAATTGACAGAATAAATGAAATACTAAAACCATCATAAGCTTCAGAACATCGTTTGACAAAGTTTAGAGGGAAGACAGTAGACCACAAGCATAGTTCTCATCCTGTAACTACACCTAGGTCCTAGGCCCCCCCCCCCCATACACACACACACACACACACACACATGCACACGCGCATGCACACATGGGAATTAAGCCTCACGTCGCTGGAAGACAGAAGGGTTTAGGGAGACATGATCACCACAAACAAGATTCTCAGCGGAATTGATAGGGTAGATAAAGACAGGCTATTTAACACAAGGAGCACACGCACAAGGGGACACAGGTGGAAATTGAGTGCCCAAATGAGCCACAGAGATATTAGAAAGAACTTTTTTATTGTCAGAGTGGTTGACAAATGGAATGCATTAGGAAGTGATGTGGTGGAAGCAGACTCCATACACAGTTTCAAGCAATTACCTAAGTGTAGTTACAGGATGAGAGCTACGCTCGTGGTGTCCCGTCACCCCAGCACTCTTTGTCATATAATGCTTTGAAATTACTGACGGTTTTGGCCTCCACCACCTTCACACTTAACTTGTTCCAACCGTCTACCACTCTATTTACAAAAGTGAATTTTTGTATATTTCTCTGGCAGCTTTGTTTCGTTAGTTTAAATCTATGACCTCTTGTTCTTGAAGTTCCAAGTCTCAGGAATTCTTTCCTATCAATTTTATTGATTCCTGTTACTATTTTGAACGTAGTGATCATATCGCCTCTTTTTCGTCTATCTTCTAGTTTTTTCATATTTAATGCCTCTAACCTCTCCTCATAGCTCTTGTCCTGCAGTTCTGGGAGCCACTTAGTGGCATAAGTGTAGATATGATAGAGCCCAATAGGCTCAGGAACCTGTACACCTACATGCTAGATTTGATATTTACCAGGAAGGAGGAAGAGATATTTGACATTCAGTACCTTCCTCCCTTGGGTAAAAGTGACCATGTCTTTTTGGGAATAAAGTATGCAATGCGTTATAAGCTGGAAGAAAATAAGGAGGTTGAAGCAGTTGAAAAACCAGACTTCAGGAGAGGACATTATGGTGACCTTAGAAATTTTTTTAGTGAGTATAATTGGACAGACTTGATGCTAGGCAAGGAAGTGAATGAGATGTATGGCAAGTTTTGTGAAATATATGATAAAGGCACAAACAAATTTATACCAAAACAGAGATGCAGAACTAGGAAACAGGATTGGTTCAATAGAAATTGCGAGAGGGCTAGAGACCGAAAGACACAAAAATGGAATCAATACAGGAAGAGGCCGAACCCCCAAACATACCAGCGATACAAAGATGCGAGAAACAACTACACGGCAGAGAGGAGAGAGGCAGAAAGAAATTTTGAAAAAGGGATTGCGGACAAATGTAAAACAGAACCAGGTCTATTCTATAAATTCATAAACAACAAATTGCAGGTAAAGGATAATATTCAGAGGTTGAAAATGGGAAATAGATTCACGGAAGATGAAAAGGAAATGTGTGAAACACTAAACGAAAAGTTCCAAAGTGTGTTTGTACAAAATGAAATCTTTAGGGAACCAGATACAATAAGAATTCCAGAGAACAACATAGAACACATAGAGGTGTCTAGAGACGAAGTGGAAAAAATGCTCAAGGAGCTCGGTAAGAACAAAGCAGCTGGCCCAGATGGCGTTTCACCATGGGTTCTGAGAGAATGTGCATCTGAGCTCAGCATTCCACTTCACCTGATCTTTCAGGCATCCCTGTGTACAGGAATCGTAGCAAACGGGTGGAAACAGGCTAACATAGTTCCAATCTACAAAAGTGGCAGCAGGGAAGACCCCCTCAATTATAGACCTGTATCATTGACAAGTGTAATAGTGAAAGTATTGGAAAAACTAATCAAAACTAAATGGGTAGAACACCTAGAGAGAAATGATATAATATCAGACAGACAGTATGGTTTTCGATCTGGAAGATCCTGTGTATCGAATTTACTCAGTTTCTATGATCGAGCCACAGAGATATTACAGGAAAGAGATGGTTGGGTTGACTGCATCTATCTGGACCTAAAAAAGGCTTTAGACAGAGTTCCACATAAGAGGTTGTTCTGGAAACTGGAAAATATTGGAGGGGTGACAGGTAAGCTTCTATCATGGATGAAAAATTTTCTGACTGATAGAAAAATGAGGGCAGTAATCAGAGGCAATGTATCAGAATGGAGAAATGTCACAAGTGGAGTACCACAGGGTTCAGTTCTTGCACCAGTGATGTTTATTGTGTACATAAATGATCTACCAGTTGGTATACAGAATTATATGAACATGTTTGCTGATGATGCTAAGATAATAGGAAGGATAAGAAATTTAGATGACTGTCATGCCCTTCAAGAAGACCTGGACAAAATAAGTATATGGAGCACCACTTGGCAAATGGAATTTAATGTTAATAAATGTCATGTTATGGAATGTGGAATAGGAGAACATAGACCCCACACAACCTATATATTATGTGAGAAATCTTTAAAGAATTCTGATAAAGAAAGAGATCTAGGAGTGGTTCTAGATAGAAAACTATCACCTGAGGACCACATAAAGAATATTGTGCAAGGAGCCTATGCTATGCTTTCTAACTTCAGAATTGCATTTAAATACATGGATGGCGATATACTAAAGAAATTGTTCATGACTTTTGTTAGGCCAAAGCTAGAATATGCAGCTGTTGTGTGGTGCCCATATCTTAAGAAGCACATCAACAAACTGGAAAAGGTGCAAAGACATGCTACTAAGTGGCTCCCAGAACTGAAGGGCAAGAGCTACGAGGAGAGGTTAGAAGCATTAAATATGCCAAAACTAGAAGACAGAAGAAAAAGAGGTGATATGATCACTACATACAAAATAGTAACAGGAATTGATAAAATCGACAGGGAAGACTTCCTGAGACCTGGAATTTCAAGAACAAGAGGTCATAGATTTAAACTAGCTAAACACAGATGCCGAAGAAATATAAGAAAATTCACCTTCGCAAATAGTGGTAGACGGTTGGAACAAGTTAAGTGAGAAGGTGGTGGAGGCCAAGACCGTCAGTAGTTTCAAAGCGTTATATGACAAAGAGTGCTGGGAAGACGGGACACCACGAGCGTAGCTCTCATCCTGTAACTACACTTAGGTAATTACCTGTTGATTGACAGTTCAGAGGTGGGACCAAAGAGCCAGAGCTCAACCCCCACAAGCACAACTAGGTGAATACACGCACATGCATGCATTTACCCCCTCTCCCCATAAATCCCCTTCCCCTGCCCAAATTTCCCCCCATGTCCACTCCCTGCCCAAATTTCCCCCCATGTCCACTCCCTGCCCAAATTTCCCCCATCTCCACTCCCCTTTCCCCCATCTCCTCTTCCCTTTCCCCCATCTCCTCTTCCCTTTCCCCCATCTCCTCTTCCCTTCCCCCCCTCTCCTCTCCCCTCCCCCCCTTTCCTCTTCCCCCTCTCCTCTTCCCTCCCCCCCTTTCCTCTTCCCCCTCTCCTCTTCCCTCTCTCCTCCACTCTCCTTTCACCCCTCTCCTCTCCACTCCCCGTCCCCCCTCTTCACCCCCTTCCCTCTCCTCTCCCCCCTCCTCTCTCCACTCCCCTTCCCCTCTCTCCCCCCTTCCCTCTCCTCTCCACCCCCCTCTCTCCTTTCTATCCTCTCTCCTCTTTACCCTCCCTCCTCTCTACCCCCCTCCTCTTCTCTCCATTTCCTCCTTCCTCTCCCCAACCACCCAACTCTTTCCCACACACCCACCTACTTGCATCTGCCTCTCCCCTTCACACATACAACTTCAAGATTATTGCAGTTTAGGTCTGTGTGTGTCACATGTGCACATTCTCATGCAACTCAAAATTTTGCTGATGCACAAGCTTTCACTATACAGTATTTTCATTTAATTTTAATTGAAACAGTGCAGTTCAATGGTCACACAAATGAAAATATGATTGGAGAGATGGATATTGTCCTAGTATAGATAATATAAAAATGTAATTGAGTAAACTTAGTGATTTGTATAATCCTTATTTTACTATGAATGACTTTTAACCAAAATGCTGCTCCATTCCCAGTTTAAACGAGAGTCTGCAAGGGATGGTGAAATAACTGTGAGTTGACATTTGTGAAGCTGCCGTTTAAGTTTCTTGCAATTTTAGTTAATTTGTATTCATTATCACTAACTTGTATTCATGGAATTTAATAAATGTACTGTAGTTTCCTTTGATAATAAATATTGTCAAAGTTTATATTGTACTGTTACTGTTCACTCATGGTTTTAATTGGTAAAATTAATTTTTGTATATATTTTGATTCCATTTATATCTGCTTTCTCTAGTTTACAAGGGAAGTGGATGATGGGCTGTCGGGGTCTCGGCGAAGCGTGCGTTCTGCAGAAGAAGGTACAGCGGGGACACGACGACTAGGACGGAAGCATCAAATAATTGTTGCATTGTCACGAGTTTTTTTCCAAGCTTTCACCATGACATTTTTGGCAGAATGGGGTGATCGCTCCCAGATTGCCACCGTGGTCATGGCAGCACGAGAAGTAAGTTGTTGAACTCCAACTGTTTAATGATTGCTGTTAGCTGGTGAAAATATACAGTTAACAGTACAGTAATATTATAATGCTAATTATTATTTGGTTTGCATTATTTCATATTTTTAAATACTGTATTTAGTATCATGTCATTTGACAATTATTATTTAAATCTTGATAAGGTAGACTTGAGAATGGTCCAGGGTTTACTGTCAAAATATTGAAGGTTTTTCTTCCCAGTACAATTCTTTATATTGATTTATTTTTAGGTTTACCTTTGCTTGCTGCTACTATTCAAGTGCCTATAAAAGTATAATGTGATCCCAATTGAACACAAATGTTGATTCTGGACCTCCCATTAGTTATGAAGAACTTCAGTTGCATCAGAAATTTGCAGTTTTTCACTATAGTGTGTATTTGCTGTTTATTGTCACATATTTGGGGGGTATTCTTGATGCAGAACATATGTTTGTACATTTTTACGAGCACAAATAGCATGGGTGGGCAGGCAGGCAGGCAGAAGACACACTAGGCACTGGTGCCACATGAAAGTTTTAAAATAATCTCTGCTGGGTCACTATAGGTGCTTGGGGATCTCCAGAGAAAAGCCCAATCCAGCCTGGGATGATGTGCCAATTCTGTGCCATAAAAACTGGTGCAGTGTAAGCTCTCCTTTGTATTTACATGTTGCTGCTAAACAAGCTACTGTATCCACTTTACAGCCCACTACAGTTTGTGCTTGGCAACCTAGTACCTGTGGTTGCCACCAGATATAAAAGCTTTCACTACAGCAAGGCTTGCAGACTATTGCTCTTTACATATTTATGGAAAGGATGGCAGATCAGGACCATTAAAATAAGTATTCAGGCATTAATTCCGTATTCATAGGGGTCAGGCAAAGGAGCTAATGGATAACTGATTTTCCTTGGTTATTTATTTCATTTGCTTACTTATAGTTTTCCTGATTTGTGATAAAGTTCCTAGTTATAAAGATTGTGATAAAGCCAAAGTCAACTTTACTTTAGGATAACATTTTTACATGAATACTTCTTTTGACATTTGGTTGTAAAACAGTTACTAAAATCTAAGTTTAAAGAAAATATATAAACAAAATTATTTTATTTATAAAACAAAGGTGCTAGGTTTATAAATATAACTAGCAGAGTGATGACCAAATCACACATCAGAAGATGAAGACATGACAACGTTTCGGTCTGTCCTGGACCATTATCAAGTCATGTGTTGATAATGGTCCAGGATGGACCGAAACGTCGTCATGTCTTCATCTTCTGATGTGGTTTGGTCATCATATCTTCAGTCACATTATTGTGATAGTCTCTAATATTGTTGTAAAACCTGTCAATTTGTTGTGTGTGAAAATTTAGTCCAAATTTAATGAAAACTTAAGAGCTTGCATATAAAACCTTAAAAAAAAGTGTTTTGAGATTTGAGCTTTCCCTTCAAAAATGAAGCGACACAAATCCTCAACAATGTTCATTTTAATTATGTAACTGTACTTTCCAGTAACTTAGTTAATCTGTATTCTGTTTCCATAACACAATATATACAAAACGATATGCTAGTTGGCAATTTGCCATTATTGCAAGATTTTCTTGCAACTATAAAATAAAAATACAATATGTACTTGACATTTCTTTCAAATGAAACTCAAAAGGTAGCTTTCAATCTAAGCTTAAAAATGGCAATAATAAAATAAATAAGAGTTGCGGACCCTTAATGATTTCTTTCTTCTGATATTTGAGTGCAGCTTGTTCAACATTAAGTATTGTATGCTGTATTATTTGAATATATTTTACATTACTGTATTTATATATTAATAAATCAGTCTGCTTGAGTCGCTACCCTTCACTGCAGTAATAATAACTTACAGAATAAGAATTAATTTGTACATATCATATTGAGTTAAGGAAAACTATTTTCTTTTTTTACTTTCCAGGATGTGTACGGTGTGATAATTGGTGGCTTGCTTGGTCACTTTTTATGTACAGGACTTGCTGTAGTTGGTGGTCGCATGATTGCATCTAGAATATCCGTCAGAACAGGTGAATGGAAAATTATCAAATAATAATTGAATTGCTCATAATATTTAAATGTTCTCATTATGTCGACTAACTGATCACAGGTTCATTTCCAATGCAGAACAAAACATCTGTGTCATGTTTCCTTATGAATTAGGCAAATGTTGTAGGTTTCATCCTGGGAGAGGTTTGTCCTTGGGCTAGGGCAGGGCTGGTGAACCATTTAGAGAGCTTGTGCACAAATTGGTGGTAATCTTTTAAAATAAAATTTTTGCATGCCCATAGGAATTTTGAACCGCAGATTATAATTTATTAATATTTGTATTTTACCATTTTTTATAGATAAAGATTACAAAATGCTTGAAAACATTTTTAAAGTCTGTTTTGGCAATCTGTAACTCTTCTGAATTGTTTTAAATGGTATAGCTTTAAGAATATGTTATTAATGACTAATAATTTCCCAAAAGAAAAATTCATGAATTGGTACAAATAATAATGAACTTTTTATGAAGAAGAAGAAAAAAAAAAAAAGTCCTGCCCCATACATAGCTGGGTACCTTATCTAATGCAAAACAGTTAGAAGACAAAACAGTTGCATGAATTATATATCTATTTCATTGCATAAATTCTTTTGAATTACTGGTATTCTATTTATTAATGCATTACTTAATTAACCCTAGTAATAATTACAGCCTCCTGGTGTTGTTATACAGTGGTAGTTACAGCCTTTTGGGGTCGTCATACAGTGGTAGTTACAACAAGCTGGGACTTTCATATAGTAGGAGTAATTAAGTTTGGTTTGACAGCATTGTTACAAAAATATTTTAAAATCCAAATCTTAAAATTATTTATAAGCAAGTTAAGGATTTGTGTATCCAGAGACATTTTCAGATTAGGGCAGTATTATCTGTTATGGGTATGGTGGTGATTACTTGTGTATTGAATGATTTTTGCTTTGTCGATAGTTATTACGTTTCAAACATTACGATTATGAACATGTAGCTGAAATGCTTCCAGAGGTAACAGGCATTAAATGCAGGTTATTCTACAAATTTAAAATACTTAGATTTTTGCAGTACAAATTTATGTTAGAGAATACAAGTAAATGATTAGAAAATTGCAATTTTGAAAAGAGCTCAAGTTGTAATGTCAGTAACTTCATGAAAATACTTCCAAAGAGATGTTAGCAAGTGCTGTAGGAGTTGGTACGTGACATCCTGATGTTCACATGGTTAGGAATAAAGCTAACAAGAATAACTGTTTCTCATTAGATAGATGTTTAGGGAGTACTGTAGTTAATGTTTAGAAACTACAACCTATAAAGATTTGATTTAAACAGAATTATTTAATAACAAGAGGAAAGAAAGTAAATATTCTAAAATAAACAGTAGACAATGAATACTGTATGCAAGAGTGCTAAGATAACCTAGACAGTGAAGATCATGATAAAGTTTGTACATCATATTACATACAAAATTAGAATATAAAATAAAGATGAATGAGGACAGTGGGACCTAATTTGTTTAATTTCGTCATACATTTGTGGGACCGAATTTGTTTAATTTCATCATACATTTATTGATAGGGTTTTCAAATGGTTTTATATGGCAAAACATGATTTTGTGCATGTAATATAATATTCAGTTGGTGGTGAACAGAAACATGCTTCCTATCCACTGGAAAATGTAGTACTCCATTTGTAACCAAACATTTAACTTTGAAATTTATATCATTATTCTCTACAGTATGAGGAAACTTTGAAAATGTCCAATTCATTAATAACCCTATATGATAAATTAAAAACATAATTCTGTTGATATAATTAAATATAAAACTATACAAATACATTTTTCAAACCAGTTTAAAAATGGTAGTGAAATGTCTGAATAAACTCCACAGCATTCAGAATTCAACAATATAAAGTTGCCTCATCTTGTAGTAGATTGGTAAAGGATGGGTATAACATTTACCTTAATATATAACTCCTGCATAGCATGTGCTTACATTATTTTGTCATTTGTAGTGTGTAAATGCCTAATAGTGAACCTTTTCTTTATTTTCAGTTACTATCATTGGTGGAATAATCTTCCTAATATTTGCGGTGTCGGCACTGATAATGGGGCCTTGAACACTTAGTCTTGTAAATTGATCTACATGAAAGGTTGTAAGCAAAGTGTTCTTAAAAATTATATTAAGTTTAGGTCTGTGGTAAGGGCGTATGTAATTATTAACAATTTGTAAATTGTTGATTACGGTTTGATACATAGTATGTATGAATTTATTTCCGAATCCGAAAATTTAAATTTAGGGATGAAAATTTTATTACTTGACATAATGTGTGTGTGTGTTATTTAAGAGCAATGGGACATAATGCTACAGTACTAATGTGCATTGATGTGAGTAGTTCGGTATTTGAAGGATGCATCGATTATGAACCTCCGAGTTCATCTTGAGTACATGTGATTCCCTATCATTTCCGTGATGCTCAAATTTTTTTTCTATAAACTAGTGTGGTTGTTGCAGTTTCTGATGCTTGGTCCAGCAATGTGAAGAGTGAAAATTTGAATTGAATGTCCCAGACAGGTAGTTTAATAAGATTGAATCCCAAGCCGGTACAAATGATAATTTGTACACATCAGCAGGTTCGTTGTAGGTTAAATCATATTCAAAAACACAGCCATAACACAAAATAGAGTCTGATAAATTGTGACCATTTGCAAGAAAATTGAGATTGCAATGTTACTCAACAATTCCCAGGACTCTGTGCCATTATATTAGTTAGGTTATTAGTGTGAAAGTCTGTGCTAGTATTAGATTGTAACACTCCTTAGCTCGGACATTAAGATACAGTACTGTACACTCGGTATACCTAGTTTTGACCTCTCATCTTGCCACGACGGTTTACTTTGAATATTTTATATTTTATTTAAATTAAGTCATTTATATATACACATGTATACAGTATTGCATCAATAAAGCATTAATTATTGGCTATTAAAGACCAAAGGGATGGAAATTAATTTATATTTTTATTTTTTTGAAGTTATTCAAATTAGAGGATATTAGTTCTCCACATGTTGACCAGTAGATGCTGTAAGTAGAAACTTTCTGGAAGATGTAAATATGGAGAGCAGATAGCAAATGTGAAGTGTTAGATTGTGTTGGATTCCTAATTGTAGCATTATCATGTTTCGATATTTTTACTTTTATATTTATTTTATTGTTAAATAAAGTAGGAAACAATTTTGTCTTACAGCGAGTTTACCCCCACTAATAAGTTGATTAATCCAAACCTCTGTAATCGGTCATTGGTTATGCTACAGAACCTTCCATTAAAATATCTCATTTATATAGATCCAAAATCTACTCAAACAACTTGTTTAAACCTCCCACTCACTCCTACATTAATACCTGTCAGTCTGTGAGCCATGCATTCATGTGATTTTTCTCAAACTGCTGCATTTGCATTACAATACATGTGCTCTATTGTTAACCCCTCAAGTGTGGCTATGATAAAAAAAAATGCAAAACTATGTGCAAAAACCCTCAAAAATATACTTGTGATACATTTGTATGTAACAAAAATGAAAAAAACACAAATGCCGAAGTCTTTTGTGTTTGATGGACACTGGGAGATTGCCAGATGAAGGTCATTTTGTTTATGATGACGTAATATTGCTGACAAGCCATGATGATATCTCGAGATGATTTCGGGGCTTAGCGTCCCTGCGGCCCGGTCCTCGACCAGGCCTTTTTTTTTTTTTTTGTTACACATTCCCAGGAAGCAGCCTGTAGCATCTGTTTAACTCCCAGGTGTCTATTTACTGCTAGGTAATGGGGGCATCAGAGTGAAAGAAACATTTTGCTCATTTGTCTCTGCATCCACCAGGGATCGAACCCGGAATCTCAGGACTACGAATTTGAAGTGCTGTCCACCCAGCTGTCAGGTGATCGTGTAAGAGGGTTTATAGGTTTGTTGTTTCATGCTATTTTTACGCATTGTATGGAATAACTCTACACAATGATTGATTACAATATAGGCCTACAGTTTATTATGTGCACCAATGTTGCACATAAATCTGTTCCTGGTATAGTTCAAAGGAAGTGTACATCCCTCTTCTTTGCTGCTAGTATTCTGTCCGGTAATGTTAAGAAACAGATTTAAACACGTGTGAGAAATGCCAAATTGTGAATTGACAATACAGTACTCTCATTGCTTATGGTACAAGATACTCATCAATGGCAAGCAATTAAAAAAAATTATACCAGAATTTTATTAATGTGTATTTTAATAAATATTAATTATTAACTCCATTACATCCAAATAGATGTATTATAACATAATTTATATGAAAACAAGTGATAATGCCTAAAATCCTCAAATGATAATGATCACGTTACCTAATGAATTAACATATGATAATGACTACACTTTAACCCTTAGACTGCGCAACACTTCATATGACGTGTTGAGTAACTGATGCAAAAGTGCACACCGCTTCAAAAGACATTTTGGAGTACTGCGGAAGATTTAAATGGCCCGCGGCTACACTGGGTTCACATCAGCTTCCTCAGGGCTCGTGTAAACAGACGCCATTTAAAACAAAAAAATCGTAGGTAACATTCCTGGGTGTGAAAGCCTCGGTATTGAGTGAGCCACCAAGGCTGGCGCACGCAGCATGAGCTCACAGCACTGCTGTTCAGCTTGTGACCTCAGCATCTTCTTCTTCTTCGTCTTGAGAAGTAGTAAATGGTATTATTGTAAAATATTAAGCATATGTAAATCGTATTATTTAGCAATTATAGTACAGTATTACAGAAGACCCCGACTTATAAAAATGACCAGGATTGTTGTGATAATTTGCACTGTGTGTAGTATTGTGGGAGGAGTAATGTTGAGGGACGGAGGGCTGTAGCGTCGTGTGCCGAATCTGTGTTGCCACCTGTTACTGTCTGCATTCAACATACCAGCTTAGTGGTTCCCTATGGTGAACACAATGTACATGCACCTGAGCTCAGCATTCCACTTCAGCTGATTTTTCAGACATCCCTGTGTACAAGAGTTGTAGCGGTTTGTGGAAAAAGGCCAACATAGTTCCAATCTACAAAAGTGGCAGCAGGGAAGACCCCACAATTATAGACCTGTATCATTGACAAGTGTAAGTCAAAATACTGGAAAAATAATTAAAAAATTAAAACTAAATGGGTACAACACCTGAAGAGAAACGATAAAATATCAGACAGACAGTATGGTTTTCGATCTGGAAGATCCTGTGTTTCGAATTTACTCAGTTCTATGATAGAGCCAGACATTTTACAATAAAGAGATAGATGGGTTGACTGCAACTATCTGGACCTAAAAAAGGCTTTTGACAGAGTTTCACATAAGAAGTTGTTCTGGAAACTGGAACATATTGGAGGGGTGACAGGTAAGCTTCTAACATGGATGAAAAACTTTCTGATAGAAAAATGAGGGCAGTAATCAGAGGCAATGTATCGGACTGGAGAAATCTCACAAGTGGAGTACCACAGGGTTCAGTTCTTGCACGGGTGATGTTCATTGTCTACATAAATGATCTGCCAGATGGAGTACAGAATTATATAAACTTGCTTGCTGATGATGCTAAGATAATAGGAAGGATAAGAAACTTAGATGATTGTAATGCCCTTCAAGAAGACCCGGACAAAATAAGCATATGGAGCACCATTGGCAAATGGAATTTAATGTGCATAAATGCCATGTTATGGAATGTGGAATAGGAAAACATAGACCCCCACACAACCTATAAATTATGTGAGGAATCTTTAAGTAATTATGATAGAGATCTAGGGTGGTTCTATATAAAAATACTATCACCTGAGGACCACATAAAGAACGTTGTGCAAGGAACCTATGCTATGCTTTCTAACTTCAGAATTGCTTTTAAATACATGGATGGCAAAATACTAAAGAAATTGTTCATGACTTTTGTTAGGCCAAAGCTAGAATATGCAGCTGTTGTGTGGTGCCCATATCTTAAGAAGCACATCAACAAACTGGAAAAGGTGCAAAAACATGCTACTAAGTGCTTCCCAGAACTGAAGGGCAAGAGCTAGAAGGAGAAGTTAAAGGCATTAAACATGCCAAAACTAGAAGATAGAAGAAAAAGAGGCGAGATGATCACCACGTACAAGATAGTAACAGGAACCGATAAAATTGATAAGGAAGACTTCCCGAGACCTGGAACTTCACTTCAGGAACAAGAGGACACAGACTCAAGCTTAGGAAACAGATGCCGCAAAAACGTTTGAAAATTTTCTTTTGCAAACAAGAGTGGTAGACGGTTGGAACAAGCTAACAAGGTGGTGGAGGCCAAGACCGTCAGTAGTTTCAAAGTGTTATATGAGAAAGTGTACAGGGAAGATGGGACACCACGAGCATAGCTCTCATCCTGTAACTACACTTAGGTAATTACACCCCACGGTTCCCAGCTGCAAACACCTGCATACACACCTAACCCAGCTCCCACCTATTTATACCTGAATACACATACGGAGTCCATATCTAGTTAAACACAAAATGAGGTTAGAAAAGGTTCAGAGGTATTCCACCAGGCTAGCCCACAAGTTGAGGAGTATGAGCTTCAAGGAAAAATGTCTGGAACTGACCCTCGTGACACTGGAATACAGAAGAGTTAGGGGAGATCACAACCTATAAAATTCTCAGAGGAATTGACAATGTAGCTAAAGATCAACTATTTAGTATGGGCAGTAGGCAAACAAGGGGACACAGGCGAAAACTTAGTACCCAAATGAGCCACAGGGACATTCGATAGAACTTCTGTCAGGTAGTTAACAAATGGAATGCATTAGGATGTGATGTGGTGGAGGCAGATTCCATACATTGTTTCAAATGTAGATATGATAAGAGCTTATGATAAAGTAAGTGTACGAAGCAACACATGGCAGATGGGATTCAATGTGAATAAATGTCATGTTATGGAATGTGGAATAGGAGAAAATTACATACTGTACTTAATCTAATTCAGTATTTCTGTACATGGAGTGAAATACACCGAATCACTAATACTGACAGTATGTTACAATATGTTCATTTTGAAAATGCTTAAAAGGACTACATAGCTGAGACTTTTATAATTGACCCAACAGATACTGTCCTTGTTTATCACAAAGTCCAGCTGTTAACAGTGCATTTCTAATATACATACCTATTTTATGTTTGAAACTGTTACTTGTCTATTTTTTTTAACCCTTAAACGGCACAAAACATACATATACGATTGGGCATAACATCAGTTTACAAAACTTGCACAAACAATTTCCAATTTTTTGTGCATAATCAACTCTGCAAATGCTCCAACTCTGTTACTTGATCACCAACATAATTAGGTTGGTGATAACTTGAAAAACAAGAAAATAAAAAATAATTTTAAAATTGAATATTGAAAACTTTAAGATTTTCAAATTCGATTAAAAAATATAAACTATTACAAACTGTTCATTTGGTGTTGTTCCAACTTTGTTCTGTATTGAACAACATACCATACAGTTGGTATGAGTTTTCGTGTGCAACAAAATTTTCGTCGAAAAATATGCCCTGGTGTATGACATTTGCTCCAAAGTACGAACTGTTTGTTGATACTTGTTTGAGTCAGTAAGATCAATTTACGCTTGTATTCTGCCTAGTGATAACCATGCTTGAATTCTCTGATTGTGTGGAACGGGTTCAATTCATTCACTGAGGCACCACTGTATTGTCTTATGGGGCAAAATTTTTTGAGAAGATAGATCCCCAGCCCTATTCTATCACCCCTATAATGATGGGTGTGTGGCAGATTGCATTATATTCTTATAACTAGAGAAATATTTAATGATAAGTATAAAAGTGTCTGCTTTTACAAAATCTAGTTTGTAAAGTGATATGTTTGATTTGAATTTAAGTCACATACAGGAGCTTGGTTTCCTTAACTGAAACTCAGAACTATTGTTTATGGTTTGGATTGCTCTTTCTGCATGATGATGTAGAGTACATATAGGCAGGCATACATTTGATATATTGAAAATAAAGTCTTCTAATTTTATCACATCATTCTTTATGATCATTAGAAATATAACGATTAGCCTATTTTTCTACATGTGGCATTGTGCAAAAGAATCTGTTTGTGGTAGGGGGAAATGAGCCCCAAAATGTTTTGGTAGGTAGTTATGCCTCTGTACATACCGCAGATAATCAGAAATATTTT